ACAAATCTGGTAGAAAGAAGCCTGGTAAATTGACAGCACTTGTCTTTTCTCCTGCCCCAGAAGGAAAGTTTAAGAATTTTTGAAACAGCCAAATGTCCAGGTGGGCCAGTGGAGGGCGGGCAGGCAGGCAGACCAGGGCTGGGCCATCATTTAGGCCCCAAATGGAGGATCCCAAGAGCTCAAAGCTTGGATTTCCAAAGAAAGGTATTTAAATTTATGTAGATTGGTGCTGTAAACTATTTTGATAAATATTAACTTATTTTGTTTGAGTTTGGTTGTCTGCTGTCTTCTTGGGGCCTGTTAGCTGTTTGCTCCACGTGGCTGATATTTTTCCACATAAAGAACTGGAGGGAGTGTTTAGAAGAAGAGAATTTCTTTTTTTTTTGCTTGCTTTTTCTGGCTGAAATTTCCATGAAAGACAGTGCCCAACAGACTGTGATTACAGTTGACCTTTTCACTAGCAACACCCATCATTCTGCAGACTGAAAAGGTGCATTTCCCCTGCACTGCCTCATGTATGAGGACCTCCCTACAGGTGCATCCCCTCCTTCTTCAGCCCAGAACCAGACGTGCTCACAGGGTGCAAAGCTTAGTCTAAGGAGAAGCCCCTCCACCCTCCAATCAGAGCCAGAGCCCCCATATAGGGAAGAGCCCCTGAGAGTGACTCAGACCCAGTGCACAGTCCCAGCGCTCTGTTGAGAGTAGTTTGTTCTCTCCCATGTTTGAGGGCCATGACATAGGGATGGTATTGGGCCTAACCTCAATGTGAATAGACTTCTTATCACACTCCTCATCCTTCCCCTGAAATACACACACAGGCTAAAAGAAAACCCACCCAAAGTGCCCCTCCCACCAAAGAAGAATGGGATTGTCAGTTTCATGGCTCAGCCAGTATTTTCCTACAGTCAGAAATTCCACACATCTAGAGACACATTTGGGGATATTGTGTCTACTCATCTGTGCCCCAGCCCCAAATGCTCATGATGGAAAGACCTATTGTGGTAAGTGCCCCTTGCCTCCGAATTCCCGCCTGCAGGTTTTCATGACCTCGAGGACTCCTAAAAACTCAAAAAGATGCAAATTGGAGCTCCAGGACCTCTGCTGAAGAGGGAGGGTGAAGGGGGTTTCCAAGGAAACAGGCCCCCAGGACCTTCCAGGAGGGGGGCACCCTTGGCCTCTGCACATGCCCACTCCCACCAGCTCATACTGCCTCACCTCGACTTTTGGGCCCAATTTGTTTTTCCAAACCAAGAGGTGGTGGTGATAGAGCCATCTTTTCCAGGCTGTTTTGGAAGGACTGTTAAATTTAGGCTGTTGCCACAACCCCTCATATCTCCCCCACCTTTGGTTTTATTCCACTGAGTTTATCAGGCAATGAGCCACCTGGTCCCATGTGCTAATGTGTGGTTTGGACACCACAGGTCTGCCTCCTGCTGTGTGTGCCCACCCCCAGCTCCCAAGGCCCTGACACACACCCCTTTGAACCTGTGGCATGGCCTATGTTCACACCTGGAGGAGGCACCTGGCCCTACCTTACTTTTTGCCACTGAGTTTGCTTTGCTGCATATGTGGGTGGGAAGTTGGATTCTGCCAGGTATCCCCTGCACCCCTACCACTAAGCAGGCATTCTGAATTGATGGGTTTTGCTATCCCAAATAGGATGGCCTCTAGCTTAAAATTGGAGACAGACCTATGAGGTCAGGGTAGGAGGCTGGGTTCCTTGGGTGAGTGTGGACACACCTCATAGCGGCCTTGCCCAGATGGTAGGTAAAGCTCCTGGCATTTTGGGGACCTCTGCCTGGCTCTGTACCAGGACCCATCTTTCCTGATTTGAATGCCCCACTATTATACATCTAAAAAGAACCATCACCATGAAGACAGGCCCCATGACCGGTGTGTTCCAGGATGGATGGAGAGGAGTGTTAGTGGGCATGTCCACACTGCTAGGTATAGGTGTGTGATGCGTGTGTGGGGAACTAAATATGTGTTATGTATAATTGTTATGTATAATTTAAAATACATCTGTTTGCCATCATAAGGAGAGTATTGTATGTAAGGTTCCTTGAGGAGAGTGAGATGTACATTTTGTCAAACTCTCATGGACTTCTTTTTTCGTAATGAAATGCTTTATTGATCCAGTGGTGTATTTCATTATTGTAATTATGATGCCCGATGGGGTTTTAGGCAAAAAAAGTCAACTGACTTTCACCTTCATCACTATAGTCCAGAGTCTCTGCCCATTGCTTCGTTGAGGTAGCGCTCTCTTTCAAGGGGACATGGACTGGCAAAGGGTCTCAGGGCGCAGTTATCAAGGAGCCATCCTGGATCGCATTCTCTGGATATTGAGCTGCCAGCTGGAACACCCACATGAGATAGACGACCTTGGCGATGAAGTCCAAGCGATTTTCTCAGGGCGTAAGAGTGTCCAGCAGGCTCAGGAAGCAGGGCTAGGAAGATGCACTCAGACTTTGTTAATTCAGTGACAAGGTATATAATCTGGTGTTTCTTGATGACAAACTTTAATTTGGGGACTTAATCTCCCATTTGAGAAGTTATATATTTAAAATAAGTTTCCTGTTTAAGTTGTGCCTTTCAGCGTCAGTGAGTGGGAGGAGCACCAAGGGCGATGATCCCTGTGAGGGCAGGTTTATTACCAAACCTGAAGAGCTGTGGTTTCTCCAGTAAACTTTTTCTTCTATTGAACATGGAGCCATTATTAAATGAATTCTGTTTTTTATTATGTAAATGGTAAAATATTTTTTGCTTGTTTGATGCTCTATTTTTCTAATAGTTTTCTTATAGTTTCTTACAATTGTGATACTAGATTTAGATTTTGAATCTAACTGCAAATCAGGTTTGTCTCTGCTGTCTCTCCTGTTTTCACTTTATTTTAAGAACAAGCATAGATGTTGTCCATCGCCTTTAAAAAATGTGAAATTCTACTCTGCATCCCATTTTTGCTAACAACACTGTACGTCAACCACTTCCTACCATACTTTATGTTATAAAATCCAACCATTTTGTGGTACCTTATCTCATGCTTCTGCAAATTGTAATAAATTCTATCTGTGACCTCAGTGTGCACAGTGTCCATCTCAAGAATTCTAGCAGCTCTTGTCCAGGTCCTCAAGTGTGGCAGTGCCCCAAGGAGAGTTCCAGGTCCCACGCTTTGCTGCTTTAGTATCTTCCTGCCTCCCCACAGGCAGGTGTTGTATCACCTCCTTCAGCCCTTTGGTGGAAATCCTTATTAGCTGGAGCAATTAGCTGGAAAACCCACAACCAGGGAACTCCTTGAGCCCTCATTTAGGATCCTCTGGTGCTGTCTCCCCACCTCCCACTTTCCAGACTTGGCTTGGGTTTGGGCCACTGAGGTCCCATTTGCTGAAGGACTTGGGGTGGGGCGTAGCAAAACCCCTCACACCAGAACATCCCTCCATGCCCACCATTCTTGGGGAGGGTGGGTACCTGCAGGGCAGAGAGGAAGTAGGGAGAGGATTGTAGCTGTTCTAGTACTTGATCTATCTCTCCCCATTCCTCCTTGAGAAAGAAGCATTTTCTTGCAAGGGAGGCAAATTCAGTCAAATTGGCCTTACCTTACAGGGGAAGATCTGTCACCTGAAAGATAAGGCCTAATCTTTGTGACCTCTCAGCTGATGACAGTGCTGCAGGGGACATCCAAGAGAGCAGAGAGAAGGGCAGGGAGTGCCGTTGGGCCTGGCGCTGGCCGCTTGTCATGGGGAATAAAATACCACCAGGCACATCTCATGGTGGTCCACCAAATGGTAAACAGACAGCAAACCTTGCCGGTATGGAAGTGTTCCCAATACGCCCCCAGCGTGTGCAGTGTCTCGGACATGGGCAGGCAGGGCCCATTGCACCCCCCAGACGTCTCTCAGGGCAACATCTCAGAGGTCGCCAGTGAGCCAAGTCCCTGGCCTTCAAGACCGGCTGGCGTCACAAAGTGTCCTAGAGAGCCCAGAACTGGGACAGGACCATGGGGGCAGGGGATACACGTGTCCCATACCAGCCTGGGCTGAGTGCACAGTGAAGCCTGTTTCCTAAGTGCCACACCGCCACCTGGTGGCCCACAGGCAGCAGGCCTAGTCCCTTTGCAGGGTCCCAGCCTTTTCTTAGGAAACCCGGAGCCCCAGAAGAGATCCAGTCTATAGGCCTGAGGGGAAGTCACATGGAGCACCTTCTTCCTGCGTGGTTTCGTCATGATACACTTCTGGTGAATCCAGAGCTGTGCCAATAGGTTGGCATTCGCAGTAACGAGGAATCCCATAAAGGCTCTTCACCAGATTACAGCCAGGAACTGTCGCCACCTTGCACACCGGCCAATCTAACCCAACCTGGCTCAGCCTCCAGAGCTGGGGCAGGGTTGGAATACCTGTTGGGGGTAACACTGTTAGCCCCTCTTCAAAGGGACCAGTTTCCTTTGAGCAAATCAAGCCTGTCCACCAACCCATCAAATACGGCCATTGAAAAAATGCACTGTGAAAAAAGGCTCAGGGACCAAAACTGGCAGTGCCATTGCTAATGAGCTGAGCCCTTTGGCCTACTTCTCAGCATGCTCAGCACCTAATCCCAGGGGAATCAGGTTGAGTTGGGGAAGGGAAAAGCTGCGCAGGTTACACTTTCCCATGGATGCCTTAAAATTTTACTCCTTAAAACAATGAACTTGGCCCTGGTGGAGTGGCTCAGTTGGTTAGAGCTTCGTCCCAATATGCCAAGGTTGTGGGTTGATCTCCCATCAGGGCACATATAAGAAGCAACCAGTGAGTACATAAATAAGTGGAACAACAAATCAATGTTTCTCTCTTTTCCTCTCTCAAATCAATAAATAGAAATTTGAAAAAACAACAAAGTTACTTGTTGAGTGCCTACTGAGATACCAGTGGTCTGTAGTCATGGGAGAGGGGGGATGCTATATGTACCCTGCTACATTAACCTGGGTTTAGGAAAGACGGGAACCACCACACAGAGAGCAGAAGCTGTACGAGGTGGCCTGCTGGTTGTCTGTGCAGTGGGTGCCTTGGCATGCTGCACCGACAGGGCTTTTAGTCACATGCGCAGGTGACCCTAGCTTAGAGTTGTAGAGCATCCCATCCCTCTGTGGTGCCTGGGCTGGAAAAGCCTGGCAGACTTGGTGAGCCAGGTGAATTAGTAGCCCCCCACCCGGGGTGGGGGGAGAACAGGGCTGGGCTTGCAGAAACTCCTGTTTTTCTATTTTGTTTTTAAGAGGTTTGAGAGAAGTCCAGTGGTTAAAAAAGTTATTAAACAAGCTAAAGTGATTTAATTGCCCTTGTCTTAACAACCAGGACAGCATATCAGCTTTTGAGTTAAGTATTTGACCCAAACTCTCCAGTGGACAGAACGCTGACTCTAGATAACAAGGTGCAGTCCAGAGACCTGGTTGGATGCCTGTACTCTGAGGCGGCACCAGCTGTGCACACAGGTGAGGGGTCCAGGCACGCCTCATTTTATTGTGCTTTGATTTATTGCACCTCACAGATGTTGTTTTTTTAAAAATTGAAGGCAAGACCCTCCACTGGTTAAAAGGTTACAACTTACTTTATTGCAATATTTGCTTTATTGTGCTCTGGACCTGAATCTGCAATTCCTCCGAGGTATGCCTGTACCCATTTCTGGGTTTCTACCTGATCATCAGTCCTTCCTGCTGAGATGACCCAAGTCCTCCATGCAGGGAGAGCAGGCTGTGCAAGGTTCCTTGGCACAGAGGAGGTTACTGAGTGGCTGACTTCAGAGGTGGTCTCTGCCTGCTGCAGATCAACTGTGGGAGGGGACAGTTCTCCAAAGACAGGAGGAAGCGGCTCTAACGTTGCTTCCTGTATATGCCAGTGGCTGAGTCACCCATCTGCTCCTCTGTTCAGACAAGGTGAAACCTCATGTATGGGGGAAAGGAAATGAAAGGTAGTTGTTATAAAAGTGGAGAGTACAGGACACCCCAAAAGACACTAACAGGCTGGGATAGGTTGGTAAGTGAATCATTAATAGGTAGGTGCCACCAATTATCTGGAAGCATGGGTGACTTAGAAGGCATCCTGTGGTCCTTGCAGATCTGCAAGTGACTGGAGGGGATTTATCATCCTTGTAAGCTCTCTTGTTCAGCAGTTGTTCAGGAGGGCAGACTTGCTGTCTCCCTAAAGTCGCTACCACTCCTGTATGCCCTGCAAAACCACCACAGGGAACTGCACAACTAAGCAGGGGCAGGCTGGCCAAACCGGCTACAATGCAACCTAAGGCTAGGATGGTGGCGGAAGTGCTTTCAGGTTGAAACAAGTGTGCTGGCTGCAGAGTGTTACAGGAAGAGCCACAGAGCTGCCCAGGGTCCTGTGTCCCCTTGTTGGCATGAGAAAGCCTGTCCCATTGTCTGTGCATAGGAAACTGCTGTGACTGGCTTCCACATCAGGAGGGCTCCTTCCTTGCTGCCTGTGAGAGCTCTGTGACCATCCAGGCATGAACTGGCAGAATTTAGGACAGATCAAGTTTTCGTTGGAGGTAGAAACATACCCTTGTCTAGGTCTGAATTTGAAATTGACGGTGAAGGGATTGTACTCAATCTTTTGTACCCCTTTCCCACTGACTTCAGCCCACCCAGCCTACTGGAGACAGCTGGGCAGAGCAGAGTCACTGAGTTCCCCAAAGTCAGGGGTAGGCTGCTGAAGATCCTAGACTGCGAATATGGGTGTGGGGACCTTGCACCTGATGAGTCAGTGCAAGGGGGTCTGGAGACTCAGTAGCTGACCCTGGCAAACACAGAAAAGAAAGCCAGCCTTCCAAACACCTCCCTGGCTGCTTCAGATCCAGCCTGAATTTCCTGAAGCCTGAGCTAGCCAGGCCAAGAGTTACATCAAGTGCGTGTCACAGGAGCTCCCTCAAATTAATTTTAATATTCAAACACAAATATGCAACACAGAAAGCGTAGGGGCTGGGTAAGGAATGTGTGACCCCATTCAAACAATCACACCCAGTGTCCCAGTCCATCAGCCCTCCCCTGCCCTGACACCCAGCCAGAATCCTGCCCCAGACTGGGGGTCTAGGGGTGGGGAAGGGCTCAGACTCAGCTCTCAAATACCAAGAAAAGGTTGATGAGGTTTGGTGGGTTTGTCTGAGGAAGGCAGGGGGGCTATAGCATCTGCATGTGGAAACTGCCCCAGCCTGGGAGGTGGATGACAGGACTTCCATGTTGAGAGAGGTCTAAGCCCTAATGGCATGTGGGTGGAGTGGCAAAAGGGTGCACAAGGCTGCCATCACTCGTGTTCCAGGATAAGGTCCAGATGTGATGAGTGTCCATGAGGAATAGAAGAAGCCAGAGCAATGTAGGAATTAGCTCAAGTGACCAAGGTGAGGGCTGGCGCTGGCAGAGCTCCAGTCCACCTGGTGAGGGATTATTTAGTGCTAACATCACTATACTTTTGGCTGCAATAGGCTAACACGCTGTAGCACATCCTAACAGAACACTGAAACGTGTATTGCTGTGTAACTGCATTCAGCAGGTGCCCTTATGGACACAGTCCCTAATTTGGAGAGCTGAGCTACTGCTGAAACTGCGTTTGCAGGTGGTACCTGCTAAAAGAAGACATAACTGTGTACTTTGTCAGTGTGGCGTGATCTACTCTAATGGAATGCCCAACTCAATATCACAGCATCATGCAGAGCCACGAAAGGAAAAGAGAAATGTGTGTCCAATGCGTATCCGCTGTGTATGTCCCCAGGATGGGCGAATACCCTTGGAGGTTTGCTAGAAACGAGATGGACATGAGGCCAGGAAGCCCAACTTTGACTCAGACAGGGAACACAGACCAGGTCTGTCTTCATGCCAGACAAGCAGGCAGGCCCCTGGGCAAGCCGACCCCTCCCTTCTGTGGGCCATCTCTTCCCCACCACAGGTGTCCCTGCGTGAGTCCACTTGCATTGGTCATGCTCAAAGACAGCCCTGTGCTCAGGACAATTTTCAGGGGCCTTAGGGAAGAAAGTGCAGGGTCTCTGTCACAAACAGGAAACATAAGCATCATTATCATCATTATATCAACTGTTAAAACTACTTCTCTGTTGGGTGTCATGCTCCTAACCTTCCACAGCACTACAGGAATACCTTTCACATTCTAATTCTACCATTTCAGAGACAGATGCCAGTCCAATAGCCAGTAACCACTGGCTGGCAGTTTCAATGGGATCCTCTATGTGGAAGGGCCTCCTGGGTCTAAGATGGGAGCACTGTCAGCTGTGGCATTGCTCAACGATCCGGCAGAAAATACACCTGGGTTCCTGGAAGGTCATGTGAGGGTCTAGCACAGCCTGGAACTGGTCTACCGGGATGGAAGAATTGATTTTCTGGAAGCCCCTGCTAGAACCCCTGAGCCATCTCAATGCATGGTGATGAGACTGAGTTATTGATCCAAACTGAAGGGTGGTTGCTATGAAATGGGGGCCTAAGGGTCATATCAGTGGGTTGACCATTTGCAGCATCAGATCGGAGCAAACCACATAGAATGCCAGAGCTTCCTTACTCTGTGCTTAGTCAAAGTACAGTTCCTGTCAGCAGTTTTCCTTATTGAGGTGGGAGGGTGAATGGTCTTGGTCAACTCCAAGGTCATCCTTGCCTTCACTCCAGAAGGGCATGCTCTTCCGTATTTTCCCCAAGGGTGCAACAGCTGAATGACAGATTCCAATATGCCATTTAGGAAAAAAGCAAAACTTATGTTTACAAGACTATAGATGATTCACCGTCATGTCGTAATGTCCAATAAGCTGCTAAACCCTGCAGGGTTTCCCACCGCTCTCCCTTATCCACCCACGACAGGAGACAGGAGCATTAATAATTAAAACCTGTGAATGGAATGATGGTGACTTCGCATCATGTTGACTAAGAAGCTGATTGTTCCAAAGGCAGTTACTGTTCACAAGTCGCTGGTGTTTGTGTTAAATACAGTACCACAAGGTGGTAGGTCGAAAGGCGCTTCTTCTCTGTATTTTTTTTTCCTTTTTCTATTGTGGGTAGAAATATTCCTGGGAAGCTAGACAGAAATGCATTTTCATTTCCCAATTATTCTTAGGCACAAGTTAGAAAACTGCTGACCTTCACCAAAATATGTCAGCACTTCATGTTATAAAAAATGCAATTCAGAACTGCCGCGTGTGCAGATATGTACATTTAAACACACATACACATCGGTGCAGCACACAATGATTATTCAGTGGAGTCTCCAAACGGAACTATTTGTCACTAACCTGAAATTCTGCAGTGAAGTTCATCGCTCAAGAACAATTGGCATTTCTTTCTTTTGGCTCTATCTATGGTCAAATGTGTTTGCACATCAGACACTACAGTGAACACTTTCCTAAGTGCCAGCACCAGGACAGTCTCACACCGGGATCGGGATCAGGATCAGGATCAGGATCAGGAGAGGACCCCGGGAGGATGCCCAGTGCAGCTGCTGAGCGTGCACTCGGGGCGGGCTGGCCGGCGCAGGTGGAGGCTCCCTCCGGGTGGAAGCGCAGGGTGCGGGAAGAGCCGCAGCTCCGGAGGGCAGCGTGGTGGCGTCATCTGGGCGTTGTGCTGACTTTGGCGGGTGAGGAGGGCCCTGAGGATGAGCCCCGGTAAACAGGGGAGGTGGGGGAGAGTTTAATTGGGCTGGTTGGGTCCCCAGTTTGGAGCTTCCAGAGCAACTCTTCGTTGGTCCGGCTCAACCTCTTCTTCTCCTGGGTCTCTTTCTCAACATACTCCTGCAGATTGGCGTTCTCCTCGGACAGCTGTCTGCACGGAGAGAAGACACCATCAAGGGGCAGTCCAGCCAGAGGGCCTTAGCTTGAGATTCGCCAGGCCAAGGATGCTTACGGGGACAGCAGAGAAGTCGGGCCACCATCACCCACAATCTTGGTTGAACCACGATGACCGCTTGTCCCACCAACACATCCGTTCCCAGAGCCTCCCTGCCAACACCGAATCTGCTCACATCCCTCTGTCCCATTAGGGAGGCGCTGGCTGTCCAGTAGGCAGAGCAAAAGCCAGAGGAGGGAGAGGGAAGGAGGGGAGGCCAGGGAGCTGGTGCGGGAGGGCTCAGGGGGCTTGGAGAAAGTGGTGTTGACAATAACAATGGCACAGGCATGGTGACTGTGAGCCCTAAAGGAAAGGGGTCAGAGATTGCCTCTTTGAAACCCCGGCCAGCCTGGTGCCTGGCACAGTCTCCTGGAGGTGGCTTAGCCCTCACGGACGAAAATAACCTCCAGCTACCTGTTGAAACTGCAAACCCTGTTTCACTCCACACTGACAGCAGAAGGGAGGTATCTCTACATCCTTCCTTGGAAGTTGGGGGACGTCAGAGCAGGGGGCCAAGAAGGAAACAATGTCAGTCAGGAGCAGCTGCTTTTGGCTACATAGCTTCTCTCTGGCACGTGCCATCCCTGCTGTCCGTTGGCCTGGGATAGCCCTTCACCGCCTCGGCCAGGCTGGCCCAGAACGACAGCTCAGTGGCCGAGGGAGACGTGGGCCTGCACCGCTGAGCTAGCAGAGCGCAGAGTCGGCACGCATGGTGGTTCCCTTTTCTCTGGGAACACCCAGCTGGCACCCTCTCCAAAATATCCTCCAGGAACAAACCCGTTCAGCACTCAGCTGTGTCGGGGGCTCCTGCCACAGGCTTTCAGACTGTCAGGGAAGCCTCACAGCTCGGAGGAGTGAGATCAATTGGACCTTGAGACAAAAACAGAGCCCTCAAACTCAGGAGCAAAGCCACTTTGTGGGTGACACATGATTTGTAAGTTTAGACACCCAGGTCCACCTACCTCGTGACAACGGTATTCTGGTCAATCCTTGCTTTCAGATCTTCGTTCTGCTGCTGGAGAACTTGGATCTTCTCCTCCAGGATAATGTTCTTTTCCACCTGGAAAGGGTGCAGTGTTAAGAGGTGCCTAGCAGGGCCATCTGACAGGAAGGGGACCAGTGGCCTTGGAGAATTATCAAGAAGAATGTTTTGCAAACTACAGTTTATAGTGCATTGGTGGGTTGTAGAATCAGATTACGGGGATGTGGCCAGCATTTTTTTTAAAAATAACATAAAGCAGAAGAGAAAATACCAGAATGTACTATAGACAGTAAAAATAAGCATTGTAGTATATATCTTAGATATATAGTTCTATTCCAGATATATTATGCACATGTGTGTATGTATACACTGGAATCCTGTGCGGGATGTATCTTCTATAGTGAGCATCCCCAGGCCCTTGCCATTGTCGGAGATAAGCCGTGATCAGCACCAGGACCTAGTCTGGCTAATGAGTCCCACAGTCCTTCCCTGTACTGCATCACCCTCCCTTGCTGGGGGTGCATGCACCTTATGACATTCTAAATTAATGGAAAGATGGAAATATAATGTGGATGCATTTTTCCTTCTGAGGCTACAAGCAGCCAGGAACTCAAAGCACACGACCAGCTTGTACATTATCAGAAAATCACATCGTCCAAGGCTGTTACTGCCCCGCAGTTTATGCCATTCTCTCTGTCAGGGGGTCTTGCAGGGCCGAAGATCTAGCTGAAGTACAGTTTCATTCTAAGATGAATTTTAAAAAGATAAATTATTTTTTAAAAAGAATGTGACAAATTCACTATTAGTGTCATGTAGAAAACTGTCACGTTTCTAAGAATAAAGGTTAGGAATCAGAGCCAAAGAATTAGCTTCTGTCCCTGCTCTTCATCAAGGCACTTTCACCCCAGCCCTCTGCTCCCAGGACACGGGAAATGATTAAATCAGCTTTTTTTCCTTCCGGGAAGGGTTTCTGGAATGAGAAGTCATGCATGCCTGCAGAATGCCTGGAGCATGGCCAAAAACTGCCACATCAACCTCAAGGCTTATTATTGGTATCGGAACAACTGGATGTGGATAGCCCAGCCTGGAGGAGAAGGGTTGCCATCCCCATGTTGGCTGGACTACAGGCAGGACCAGGAGGGCAGGGCTCTGTCCATGAGCCACCCACTGGTCTTAGCTGTGGTCTTGCTGGGAAGCTCTGGGCTGCTGAGGGCCACTGAATGGTGCCAGGTGGCTAATGTTTGCCAGGATGCTGATAACAGACACTCATACCCAGGTCTGTCCCCTTCTAACTGATAAGCACCAGTGCAGAAAGAGATGTCTGTAGAAAGGGACAGTGCTAGATAAGAGAGGGACCTGACAACTGAATGCAAAACAGAATTCTCCATCAGCTCCTGGTTTGGATAAACCAGCTTCAAGGAAATTTCAGAGACAAATGGAGAACTTTAAAAGTTAGACCAGATGACTGACTACTGAGGTGGTATGTTAAAGATCTGCTAAGTGTGTATGTGTGTAGGGGGTGTATGGGGTATGTACATGTGTACAGAGAAAAAGCTCTGGCAAGTGTTAAAAGTGGTAGAAATATTTTTGCTTTCCTGATTTTTGTTTATCTTATCATTTCCTATAATGAGCACATTTTTCTTTTATAGTATCAAAAGTTTGTTTTACATATAACATTTTTAAAAAGGAAAAAAAGCATAAGAATATGAGAGCCTTGGGCCAAGTTCTGCATCAGGGTGGTATCTACTTGGAAACAGGCTTCTCTCCTACTAACTTTAGACAACTATCCCCAACTCTAGCCCTGGCATGGCCCTTGTGCCTGCAGGTAGGGAGTGAAAGCTGGGGTGCTCTGTTCCCCCAAAGGGGAGCCCTTTGCTGGTTCTGTGGGAGCCAGGTTGAAAGGTGAGGCAGACAGTGTGGTGAGTGCTGGGCTGGGGCTCTTGCCTGGGCTTGGCCACTGATCGGCTGGCTCTGGGGAGGTGCCCTGTCCCAGGCCCCCATCCCTAGGCTGTGAAAGGAGGCTCTTGACAGCCCCTCCTTCACAGCATTGCTGTCAGAGTTCACAAACAAAGGCACAGGCATGGAGAATGCTCTGCGTGGTGTCTGCACACGTCAGCGGTGCTCCTCCATGTGGCTCATCACATGTCCCCAGGGAGCAGTGAGGAAACAGCACCTCACTCCAGAGGATGGGGTAGGGATGGAGGGCAGCGATCATGAGGCTCCAGAGCTGTACAAAATGAGGCTACTGCTGAGATTCCTCATCAGAACTCCTGGCTTCCTAAGAGAGGCCTTGAGACTCAGCAATGGAATTTTCCACTCAGGTGGAAGCAGTGGGTAAAGGGCCCAAGAGCTGAACTGAGTCAGTGTTGACACCAATGAGGACAGTAAGGCTGTTGGCCTCTCCCCGGGAAACAGAACCAACTCACCAGCTTTTCCAGCTCAATGATCTTCTTTTCCTGCTGGTGTATTTGCTGATTCTTCATTGCTAATACCTGCTTCAGACTCTTCATGTCTTCCTCCAAGTGCTGGTAGGGAGCCAGTGCCACCTACAGGGGTAGAGAGCACAAAGCTATTTACCAGGCTCCTGGCAAAGGCCAGTGTTCACAAAGGTCATGGATTTCACTAAAGCTAGTCTTTTTTAACAAGCTTCCCAGTAAGGTACGAGAGAGAGAGAGAGAACATCAGTTCACACAGCCTTCCCTGGTGAAGATGCCTAGTGTCCCACTGGGAATGCTACTAAAAGCCCAGCTCCCTTGGGAAAAGAAGAGAGAAAGCCATCGCCACTGAAGAGTCTGGATGCTGGAATGGCTAGATACTACCAGCCCACCCCCAAAGGGAATTCATGGGGTGAAAGAAATAAATTCAACATTGGCTTTTGACAGTCACACAGACCACTTGATTCAGCAGACTGGTGGAAATTTCCAGGTCCCACCTGAGCCCATGGAGAGCCCCGCCCAGCATAGGAAATGAGCAAAGTGGTTTAAAAAGCAGAAAAGGCATTTTAGAAAAAGAAATGTTAGAGTGGGGTTGCCAGATATAACAAAAAGAATACAGTAAAGTGCGTTAAGTTTGAAATTCAGACATTATTTTTTAGTGTAAGTATCGAAAGGGACATACTTATACTAAAACCTTCACTTGTCTGTAATGCAGATTTAACTGGGTGTGATGTGCCTGATAAGGCAACCATACGTCAGAGGGGAGGAATTCTGCCAGCTTTTCAGGAAAAACTCCTCAACCTACTAACTTGGGCTTCAGTGGAGCCGCCCTGTCCAGCCTAAAGGGAGCTGGGGAAAACGAGTGGAGAGGTGGTCCTGGTCAGGGCAAGGGTCCTAGGCCAAGCTCATCACAGGAGCTCAGGGGCAATGGCTGGGGAGCAGCGTGCAGTGTGGCAGGAATAACATTTAGATGGAGAAACCCCCAGCTGTCCTATGTCTGAAGAGAGGTGTGGACAAGAATGTGTTTAAGATTCCAGGGCGGCCTGCCCAGCTGTCACTTCAGTAGTAGATTAGCACAGAGGCCCTGTCACAGGGCAGGCTGCTGAGGAAGCCACATGGCTCCCTGGGGGGAGGCTCCACATTGACCCCTAGGGAGCCCCGTGATGCTGGAGGCCTGCAAAGCTTGACCACCTCCAGCTGCTCCTCAGTGTTCTTCCTCAGAGCCTCCTCGAAGCGTCTGGCTCGGTCCCGCAGAGACTGGCTCTGGAAGGTCAGCGTGTCCACCTGGTCCTGAAATTAATGACACAAGAAGTCCAGCTCTGTCCGCTGCGGACACTGCAGCCTGGGGAGCCGCCATGAGACGGCCCCTAGGTGCACTGCCGCAGGCGTGAAGCTGAGGCCCGGGCCTCCCGCATCGGCCTTGCTGTGTCCCAGCCTGGGCTCTTGCTGCTGCTTCCCCGCCTCACATCCCAGCTCTCCCAATGGCTCCATCGGCCAGCTCCCTCTCGTTCCAGGACCACTTCTAGCTCCACTTGGCCTTGCTGGGCCTCAGGGCTGGGGTGCATGCCCCTGATGTGAGCTGAGGCTGTCCTCCGTTTTTAGACCATCTTTCCCCTCAGACCTTCTGTTTAGACCATGCTCCTGGCCTTCAGCACCACCCGCCACAAGGCAGCCCTCTGTGTGCAGGCACAGGAAGGTGAGTCTGAGTGGGCACCACAGCCCTTCCCAGGCTCACCCCTCCCTGGCAACCCCAACAATGACTGATCGCCAAAGTTCTCCGCCCAGTGGCACCATTTCCATAACATTAGACTCTACGGTCTTCCAATGAACTCTTCTCGCAAGAGAAATGACCTCATCCCAACCAATGTCAGGAGCTAGGTTTTGTAAATTATGTAATTCTACAGGGCAGTCCTGTAATGTATGAAGCACTTGGCCTGGCTTCAGACGACCCTGTTTGGCAAACCATCCTTGGCAGGTTTCTCGTTCTCTTTTTTGGTTTGTTTCTTTGTTTCCAGTTACTTCTATTTCAGTTTAAGAAACAAAACCTCCATAATGCCATTAAATGCAAAGGCTGGTATATTAGGGCAATGGAGTTATCAGTGGGCATTTGTACCCACAGGGGCTGGCAAAAGTAGGCCAGAGCCGTGGGAGCCCTGGCGGGGCACAGCCCACGCCCCGGGGCAGTGGCCTTCTAGAACGAGGCTATCACGGCGCCAATGTCACCACAGGCTCTTGCACCAACTTCGTCAGTGCTGTCAGCGGAAGCATTTCTTTCAAGCCTCTCCTCCTCCATTAAAAAACAGAACAGCATAAACTCATCAGGCAAATACCACCTAGGATGGATCTCAAATATCAAACTGGGTTTTCTGCTCTGTTCTCAGTGACTCAAGACCGACCGACAGGCACACACGCGTGCGCAGCAGTCGGACAGCACAGGCTGTTTTCCAACTTGGTTGGCTCCTGTATGTCAAGTACAAGGCACAGAGACCCAGTTGGCGACCTGGCCCAGCACCGGCTACTTAAGAGCTAACCACTGGCATGATAATATCAGTGATGATGATAAAAATAAATATAACAAATAATAATACATGTAACTATTAGAATAGCAATAGCTGCGACGTATTAGCATTTGCCACGAGCCAACCTAGTGCTGCACACTTTACATATGGTACTTCTTCAGTCTGCCCACTCCTGGAGGAAGGTGCTATTATAGAACCATTTCACAGATGAGTAAACTAAGGTTCTACAGAGCTTATGTATTGTCCAAGGTTTCAAAGCTAGTAAGAGGGGGTGCCATGGGATTTAAACCCAAGAGCTCAAATCTCTTACCATCAAACCTGCTTCTCCAGCTGCCAGTCACTCGAGGAAGTTGGCTCTAGCAACTCCACCCTCCTTGCACCAAATAACCTCCAGCCCAAATGGATTCTGCTTATGGGGCATCACAGCTAAAATTTGTGCAATGTGTGACCTCGAGATGACAGGGGCAGAATGAAGACTCACTCACGGATGAAACAAAACTCTACTTCTTTGTGGTTTGGGGCTGGATGGGGTTTCTGTTACCACGGTCTGGCTTTCCCTTTCCTGGTGTGCGTACCTCGAGGATGGCACACCTGATGGTATGAGAGGTGGGTGCACGAGGAAGGCAGTTTGGGGTAAATTTGCAGAGGATAAGCCACATGAGGACTGAGTATTGTAGGCCCATTGATGGGTGGGTGGTGGGTTCACTGCAGGCTGTTTCCCATTTAAAAATTTTTGAATAGTACACTCAGTAGTTGTGACATTGGTATCTCACAATCCCGATTCTTGTCTAGGCAGGGCCGCCTCTGTGCAATGAAGGCTGCCAGGGGAAAGTGAGCCATCGAAGAGGCAAAATTCCTGGCTTCGTATTAGTTATGGGAATCAGTGGACGTTCACTGTTATTGTCATCACAACTCCCAGATGTGAGTGTCCCCAATATTTAAAAAACAATTTTGCTGTGATTGAGATGCTCACAGCTGGGAAAGGAAGCAGGGCCACAAACCTCACCCTAGCTTCCTAGGCAGCTCCTCCCTGGGCTGGTCATCATCTTTTCACAAAGCAGCTTGCCCGGGTCTCTGGAAGGAGGAGGGAGGTGCAGGTGATCTGGGGGACCCTTCAGAAGCATGTCAGGCTGCTCCCTGGCATGACCCACATTTTCTGTAGGTTGGCAGTGGGAGGCATAGGAGGTTCTTTTCATCCCATCCACCTCCAGATGACTAAAGTCTTTTTTTATAATTGCAGACATGTCCCATGGGCTTCTGCCCTTCACAGCTCTCCATACACCATTCCCTAGCCTAGAATGCTCTTCTCCCAGGTCCTTCCCCCTTTCTTCACACAGAGCTCAGTGACTCCTCTGACCACACAGCGAGTATGGGGCAACCTCTCGGGACTCCTGTGGCACCCACTACAAGTATTATTCACTTGGTGCAGCATGTGTTACCTTTTGTGGTTGTCTGTCAATGTTTGTGTCACAACTCTCTGAGTAGATAGTAAACTCCTTAGAGTGGGAGAAAGTCTTATCTCCCTCTATATTCCAATGCTTAGCACAGGATCTGGAACTTAGTAGGTGCTGGATAAATGTTTATGGACAGGACCAATGATGCTGCCCTTAGCTTGACATCAGAGTTAAGAAGATATTAACCTGCAATGACAGCCGCAGCTTTTCAAAATTGTCTTCCAATTCTTTCTTTTCAAGCTCGTGGGTAGACATCAGTTCTGGGGAGAAGACATGAAATTGTTAAGTCGGTCTTTCCTCTGAAAAGGGTCAAACAAGACTCTTTGCCACTTGGCTGATAAGAGACATCAGCACATAGCTGACTTCGGCCTAGAGTTCTCCATTACTTTGGAATTGTGTGTGGTGTTATTCAGAAGAGAAAGAAAGAGGAAGGGAATAGGAGAAAGGGAGAGAAAAAGAGGGCCCAGCCGGGGTGACTTAGTGGTTAAGCGTCGATCCATGAACCAGAAAGTTAAGGTTCGATTCCCGGTCAGGGCAAGTGCCCTGGTTTTGGGCTGAATCCCCAGCAGGGGGAGTGCAGGAGGCAGCCGATCAGTGACTCTCATCATTGATGTTTCTCTTTCTCTCTCCCCCTCTCCTTCCTCTCTCTGACATATTTAAAAAAATGAAGAGTCCTTTAAAAAAAAGGAGGGAAAGATGAAAAACGAGGAAGAAGTAAATAGAGCACACACACACTCAGAGTCCCCATCCACAGTCCTCATTGACTCTCCAAGTTTTCCTAATGGTAAAACAACTGGGTGATCAATGTTAAGTCTCCGACTCCATCTCCTTCCCCTCCCAGGATCACTCTTTCTTCCCACCACAAAGCAGCCATCTGGGCTGAAGGAGGGAGCGTTCAGAGAGAGCTGAGCCTTGAGCAGCTGCCTGCCGGCTGGGCTGCTGGAGAGCAATGGGTGCTGCGCCTGCAAGGCCTCTGAGCCCACTCTGAAAACCACAGCTCTCTAGGATTTGCTTGAGCAAAAAGTCGATGTGAAGACACTCAGACAGCAGGGAGGACTAATTGGATTGGTTTCTCTTGGAGAGTTTAGAACCATTCTATTCTAAGCAAAGTGTCATTTGAGTAATAATTTGCAAGTGAAGCAGAAAGAGATGTCATGTAAGACTTATTAAGCAAATGGATTTTCTTTTCCTCCAGATGGGAACAGTCTTATTAACTGGGTGAAGCCCATCTCACTCTGGCTACACAAGCAATTTGTTTGCATGCTATCGCTGGAGAGAGGAAAGGTCTCATTAATCAGCTTGGGTCACACATGCTTCAGACAGGAGAGTACTAGAGACCAACAATTATCATTCCAGCTGGCCAGAGCTGCAATTAGGAAAAACTTTGTAGTTTCCATTGATCCAAATCTTTGAACTAATAATGGAGAAGAAGAAGGTCTCTAGGAAATCCAGTTGTTATAGCTGAAATTTACATTTGAAAAATAATAGTTTGTCTTGATTTCATTAAGATAAAACCGTGTGGCCTTCTGTCTACCAGCCTCTGTCTAAATGATTAGTTTTAATAGCCATTGAGAACATCGTCTTGGCCATAATAATGATTTTTTTTTTGGCTATTATATGCATTATATATAATTCAAAGGCCTTGGATGTAGTGTCTAAGCAAGGCTTTGCTAGTGAGAAAAATCTACCAGGACTATTTATATGAAAATCCAGAAACAAAAGGCAACACTGTGGCTCACTGCACCATTTCCATTCATATTCCCTTTCAGAGACCATTTTTCTATAAAAAACGGGTTTTAGGACATTTTCAGATGATCCCAATACCCCTAGAAAAAGGCAGTCAGCATCTATTTGGGACATCATAGGTATAAATCATAGGCTGATACCTATGTACCCATAATGTACTTAATTATTTTAAGGTTATGACATTCTGTCCCATACTCAATGCTGCGCTCTAAGACAATAGTTCTAAAATTGCCCTGCATATTAGAATCACCGGGGGAACTTTAAAACGACCTGGTGCCCGTGTCTTTGTTGCCAACATTTTTCTTATATATCTAATTGGCTATAAGGCTATTTTTTCTGTAAACAAGATAAAATAGCTGGTTGACAATTTGGGGTTTTGAGGGGTTGCTGTTCAGTTTCATTTCTCCATTGGTGATTCCCACTGTTACTCCCATATTTATATTCTATATAAATGTTAGCAAGCTCTCATAATGGTCTATATAGGGACAAGTGGACACATGGTGCTAGTCTTAAAACAGTTAGCATTTCTTCCAGATGAGATGATTTGCCCCAGAGTTGGTTTCCTATTTTGAAACAGTACATTGGGAGGAGAAAGGGAAACCGAGGGCCCTCTAGAGGGATCAGAGGTGAACCCACATAGAAGACAAGGGCTTAGGTACAATCTTTAAAATAAAATCAGTTATTTGAGCAGCATTGTTATGAATTTATACACATTTTAAATAACATCTTAATTTTGTTTTTCCTTTTTTTATGTTTCGTTATGTCCTTTTTAATGTCCCTCTATTTGCTGTGATGTTATCGGTTTATAGCCAATTAGTTATGTGGTGCAAATGTGCCAAAAATGTCTTGCGTCAAAGATGTCTACAGCAAAGATGTGAAAATGTCTAAACAGGAACTGGTGCTGTCCACGTGAGATGTGCTGTTGGGACAACCCTCCCTGCTTGGGCTTCTTCCTGCCCTAACAGCTCCCAGAGGTGGTGGGGCTGGTTTTTCAGGGAAGCCTAACATGAGTACTGACTACTGCACAGTGGGCTTGATGTTCACAAAGAACATTTAAAAATAGTAAAACATGCCTTGGCCGGTGTGACTCAGTTGGTTGGAGCATCGTCCCATACACAGAAAGGTTGTGGGTTTGATTCCTAGTCAGCGTACACACTTAAATTGCAGGTTTAATCCCTGGTGGAGGCAAGTACAGGAGGCAACCAATGGATGTTTCTCCCATATCGATATTTCTCTCTCTCTCTCAAATCAGTAAAACATATCCTCTGGTGAGAATTAAAAAAATAAGTAAATAAATAAAACATGATGTTAATTCTTAAAATTAACTTATTAATTTTAAATTTATTAATCTATTGTTAACTTTCTGGCTGGGGGAAAAGTGAGGGGAGGGAAACTGAAAAATAAGTTGTATATTTAGTATAAATGCATGTTAAAAGTATAAAAAGTTTCTTTCACAAAGTCTGAATCTAAGTAGTGTTTAGTAAGTGTTGTTATAACCTATGTAGAATCCTAAGTACCCAAAGATAATTCCCTCCCTGGAGTGGGACCTGGGCTGTTGCCAGCCTCCCATTACAGTGCCCAGGGTTTCCAACATCGAGTCGAGGCCGAGAGTAACTGCATCAGAGGAAAGAAGTGCTACCTGGATCCTGGTTTTCCATCTCTTCTTGCCATAGCAAACAACACAAAGGACACACCAGGATTGAAAGGAAGGAAGAAAGGAAATGGAACAGAGAGCAAGAGGTGCTCTTGCGTCTGCAGCAGGGAGGTTCGGCTCCCATGGCCCATCCCTGGGGGCCACACACATCCAGGGTGGTAGCTACCTTGGACTTTGTGATCGTGGTCGTCCTGTAGGATCGCAATGGCCACTGTATGGTTATTTTCCATCTCTAGGAGAGCAGCCTCATGGCTGGCAGTGATATCTTCTACCTGTGGGAGAGTCACAGTTACGGTTACTCAGAGCTGGGATGGGTGGCAGTGACATCCTCACTGCTTGGAGAAGAGATGGAATTCAATGAATAGAAAGGTCAGTAGTCCAAAATGTCAAGGAAACGTCATTCTGCTGAGATGACAACTGCCTTCATCCTTGTGCCGAGGCAAGAGAGCCAGTATTTGGTGATGATGTGGCAGCCCCTGGAGTCGGGCTATCTGCAGGAGGACAGTAGCTCCAAGCAGGGGATGGCTGCTTGAGCCCTCTCTTACCATATTGGGCCTGGCTTACAACCATCCACTTCCCACTCCCATTCCTTCCCCTCACACCAATCACTCTATGGGGTGATGATTAAGGAAAAGAAGAGGGGCCTTCTTTCTAGATGGTCTGCTCTGTTTTCCAGTGGCAGGTGAGAGCCACAGTGCACAAGGTAAATGGAGGGAACGAACATTTACTAAGCTACCTGCTATCTGCTACTCCACTTACCCTCCCAGGAACATTATAGTCAGTATTTATGCCCATCTTACAGGAAACTGAGGTTTATAGAGGTTTGAAACATTTTGCCCAAGGTCTAGTAAGGGGCAGAGCCAGCAGTCAGCCCAGGTCTGTCTGACTGCAAAGGTGAAGTGCTTTCAAACACACCCCTGCTGCCTTCCCAGCAAGACATAACCAGTGCCTTAGGAGCCTCTCACCAAGGCCAAGTCAGCTGGCACCTGCTTCCCAGCCATCAGCTTGCAATCTGGGCCTCCCATCCAGAAAAGCGAGGCTGCTCCTGGAAGGGGCTGCTGTTCATCTGGCTGCAGGTTATTTCCAGGGGTTTAATCACTAACAGCACGACCAGCCTAGGATTTTTTATTTTCACTCTTCCTGGTCTCTACCCCCTACTTCCCGCCATCACCATGTGTACTGTTTTGTTATTCTGTTCTTGTGCTGCTGTTTTAACTTCAAATGTATGACTTACAGGAGTAACTGCATAAAATGACCTCTCCCTACACTAGCAAACCAGAACAGTGTTTTTCCAAACTCTCTGTCAAGGACCTTTGCAAAAAGTACTATTATTGTACACCGTAACACAGCACATACACACAAAACAAAGTGTCACAAAACAATACTTTCCCCTCCTACTTTGAATAATCTGTTTTTAACATTTTGATTCCATTTAACTTTGTTTATTTCAAAATGCTCATCGGCCCACTAATGTGTCAAAACCTGGCACTTGAAAAACACTAAAGCAGGAATTGTGTCCAGATGCTGAAGCCCCTGGTGGACCAGTTATTACTGCTTGTAGATGGTAACATTCAGCCACTGCTTAGGGTCCTTCGTTTCTCAGGGGATAATTCACAGGCAGACCTCTGATCTGAAAGGGGAAAGGGCTCTCCACAGGAAAGGAAGCCCACTTGTGGAGTGGATGCATGAGATTATTTTTATTTTAAAATGGGGTAGATTTTTATTCTGGATACTATAACTGCATGGGAAAATTTGCCTGACTTCTCTCTCCTAAAGTAAATGAGAACTTCATCCATGAAAACAAATATCACTGGCAAAAGCAACAATGAACTCCATAGTGTTAGGAAAGCTGCATCACAATTTTAAAAAAACATGATATGCAGTGGTTCACTTTTATTTACTGGCCATTCTTGATGAAACAATGTTTTACTTAAGGCTCAGAGCTATGACTCCTTTTGGCAGAAAGGCTGATTACCACAGTATATAATTGTCCAATTCTTGTTTATATGAGTATTTTTATAGAATCTTTGTCCAAAGAATTTCAGTCTCTTGAAAAAATAAATCACTCATTTAAAAAATGGAAGTATATTTTCTTTCTGCTTCATTGCTGTCAATCAAGCCTAGAGCGCCTTGTCTGTAGACCCAGGTACCCACACAGTATTTGGATTCTTGATACCCAGTTCAGTCTGAAGAAAAACCTTTGATCAGTCCCTGGTGTGATTCTGATTTTGCTCTGACACAAATTGCCATGTTCCAGAAGAGTCTCAAGCATCCCTGGTAGTGAAGACACCCTGACAGGCAATACGAAATTATGTCTGAAGCTGAACGGACTCTCTTCTGGTTTGTTGGGAGGCGGGTCTTTGATTTAGTGGTGACACAATACCAGAATCCAGGCTGGCGTGCACTGCCCTTCCTCCCCCACCGCCCGCATGCTCTCTGCCGGGAGGCTGCACAGGCTGTCAGCCAAGGCTCAGCAGCAGGGGCCAAATCTGGGCCTGAATGATTCACAGATTTCAATCATCCATCCCAATCAGTGGGTGTCTACAGGCAAGGTTTACTCAGACCGACGGCACTCAGGTGTTATTTCTACCACAAAGTGTTCCCTATCCTCACAGCTAGAAGTAAACTCTCAGTTCCTAAACACATCACCTGTGCTTCTCACTCAGTATCAGTTTCTTGGGCACTTCCTGAGAACTTCCCCTGGTTATCGCCTGAGGCATGGACCAAGCAAGCCCACAGTTTATAAATCTTGGTATCTCTGGCAGGACCCTGACATGGTGCCTTGTGTACAGGGAGCATTACCTCAGTATTCTTGGCATAGGTGAGTGGATAAATAGATGAATTGCTTTAGCTTTTGTGAAGGATCTAGAAGAACAGAACTCAGAGTCCTCATAAGACACAGCCCTTTTAAAATATTCATAGGCAGCTCCTTCAACTCATTCTCAATGTCAGGGCCTTCTTTCCTTCAACAGAGCCCAGCATGAAATCTCTAAAATGCTGCTATGTCCCAGCTTAAAGGTGAGGCAAGAGATCATCTCCTAGGCATGCTTCTTGCACACACGACGCTGTGGGAGCTGCTCTGCCCCAGCAGAGCCCCACTGCTGGACCGGCTCTGCCCAGCAGTGCCTCAACTCTGTAGTTTCCATACACGGCACCTGCATGGGAACCTTCGCTCCGAGGGTCCCTTAAAGCAGCATCTTCTGCCTGGCAGCCACCCCCTGCCCTCGATCCCCACCGCTTGGCACTTTCTCAATCAACCCAGATCTTTGGGCCAGAAAGTCTTTTAGTGAATACAGGTATAAACATGTTCTCTGTGCAAAATTGGGAGTGAATGGCCCAGGGATACAGAGGCAGAGCTCAGGCTATTTGCACCAGGTTTGGGATGTAGCAAGGGACCATGCTAACACTGCAGACAGCCGCAGGGACCAACGTCTGCTTACTGAAGTTATGCTCTGAGAGCTTAGGAGGCAAGATGCTGGAGGTTCTGGTTCTCATATTAGCACCAGCAGTAACTTGAGCTGTAACCTATTCTGTTTCCTGGTCTCTAAGTCTAAACAACCTCAAGCATGCAGGTGTATCTGGTTTCTACAGAAAAGGAGATGCTAAATACAATAAAATGCGTCAAATAGGGGATTTTTATTACAACAGTATTACTCTGAATCTCTCCTTGTGCCCCCTAGGATTCACAAGCCTCTGGGTGACTATTTGGAAGCAGTCCGTGGAGGGCAGCCAAAATGTTCATGATCATGAAGGGCCACCCAGCACTAGCCTGAGATTTAGAGTACTCTTTGAGAATGCCATTAGGAATATCATAAGCAGACCACAAGAAACAATACACCACTTAGAAGGCCAGTATTAAGGCAACATAGCCTTGGGAATGTAAAAATAAGAGAAAAGAAGGAAGCAGAGCTAGTTCTCATGGAAGCAGTCTCCTGCCAGCACCCACAATAGTGATGGACAAAGCTACCCAATGTCACCTGACAGGCTCCCTGGGAATTATTCTCTACTCATTCCAGATGGAGTGCCCTCTCTGTAAGACTACTGGGCTAGCCAGCGGCATTTGTGCTTCCATTCGGCAAGTTCAAACTGACAGCTTACTCCGTGCAGGCACATTCAGGTACCAAAATTCTAGCAGTAAGCCTGGCAGACAATCCTCACTTCATGCTTGAGGGCAGGGCCTCGGCAGCCAGAATGCGTTCAGCCCTGGCTTTCCCGTGACTAGCTCTGTGAATTCTGGCAAGTTATTTAACCTCCGGGTCTCAGTTTTGTCACCTGTAAACTGGGGACAATAATGATATATACCTGTAGGGTGATTGTTAGGATAAAAGGTACATGTAAAGGGTTAAGAGCAGAGCCTAGCACACAAGTGCTAAACACACATTTGCCTTATCACCCTTCTCTCATGGAATATGCAGACGATAACTAGGATGCAAAAGTAAAATTTATAATATGTTAGATAGTGCTAAGTGTTGAGGAAACACTACAGCAGAAAGTGGGACAGGAAGAGTGTGTATGTGGTAGGTGGAGGAGTCATAATTTGAGACCAAAAAAAAACCTCATTGAGAAAGTGACTTTTGAGAAAAGTCTGGAGGGGAAGGACAGAGGGAGCCATGGAGCGTCTGGAGGGAGAGCTTTCTAGGCAGGTCGGGGGAGCATGCCTGGGATGACAAGAAGAGGGAGACCAGAGGGGCTGGAGGGGAGGAAAGTAGGCAACAGAAGAAAGAAATGAGGTGGGAGAGGGAACTTTACAAGAAGCTCACCTATGGACAGGACTTCTGGCTCAAGTCGCATTGCTCCCTGCCACCTTCCACTGCAAGTCCCGGCAGCAGAGACAGCGCAGCGCGCACACTGACCTGCTCCTGGTGCTGACACCGGATCCGCAGCAGCTGGGCGCTGTGCTCCTCCTGAAGCTGGGTCATCTCTGCCTCGAACTGCAGCTGGAGTCGCCCCTGCAGGTCCTGGAGCTCGGCCCGCTGCTGCCAGCCCAGCTTCCTCACCTCATCCTCAAACCGCCTCTCCAGCTCTTCCTTCTCCTTCTGTAGTTTCTCACATTTGGCTGTGTTGAAGGCTGGGGACAGAACAGCATCTTTGTAAAAACTGGGGAGGAAGCACCAAAAGGCTTCACACCCATGTGTAGGGCATCCAGGTTAACGTCAGAACCGGGAAAGACCGTCTCGCTTTGGAAGAGCCTCACAGTTTGTAAAGGGCTTGCTCTTCTACTGCACTGAACATGTGGGGAAGTCCGAGGTCACCTGGTGCGCAGAGAGGTGTGAAGGCAAACTTGAGCTTCCTGACTGCCAGCCGCATGGTCCTGCTGCTAGAGCAGGGCTCCTCTGAGGGCTCCTGGACCACGGGCATCAAAAACATTGGGCATTGGTTCAGCAGGCACTCTCCCAGGCACACCCTGGGTGGGGCAGAGCCCGAGGCAGCAGCCCAGGACCTAAAGGTTTCACAAAGTCCTCAGTGACTCCTCTTCCAATCAGGGCTCAAGACCTGTGCACCTCTGGGAGCTGAGACAGGACAGGGGATGCACCAGGCTAAAGGCTGTTCTCTCCAGACTGAAATGCCGAACTGGACAATCACAGAGGAAGTGTGGATTTCTTTTCAGGGGCCCAAGGCTGCACAGTAACCATGCAATACCCCCTTGCATAAGCATGTCACCCTGTCCCTGTCCTGGTGTGCTTCCCAGGCCGCCTGCAGGGGACAAACCAATGACAGCATCCTGCTGATCCACCTCCTTCGGATCTGTGCCTGCCCTGGGCTGTGGGCAACAGCGGACTGCTTTCATTTGCAAGATCTCTTTCTCAACGGCAAACTGCTCTCACGAAGGAGAACAGCATCTTGACGACCTACTATGCTTAGGTAAATAATGCTGATTATACACACGTGTGGCACAGGTGTCCAGTCGCAGGCACACATCACTTACGGTTCCCAGGGACAGTGCTGCCACACTCTCCACCCTGTGTGCACGCTGGGCAGACATCGTCATTTACTTTAAAACTGAGTGAGCAGGTATATGGGCTGGTTCATGATAACCTACTTCTAAGGTAGTTACACAGCCTTTGAAATGCCCTGATCAGAAGTCCTGCCCTAAAGAGGAGCTAATTCAAGGGTTTCTTGGCCACATTTGGCTCTAAAAGAGTTTGTTAATTAGCACAAGGTATGTTTCAAAGTATTTTTCCCCTGATGAAATGAGTTGTGGGTTGGATGGATAGGCACCTTGCCCTGTGTGGACAGTGCAGCAGCCTAACACTGTCCCCAGTGGTCTTTTTGGTCACTTGTACCAGTGTCCCACGTCCCACCCTTGCGTTGGGGATTCTGGTGCAGAGTCTGGTGAAGTTGTGAGCAGGGTCTGCCACTGTAATCAGGGTGAACTGAGGGGCAGGGTGGTGGGCGCTGCTTCCCCCCAGGGGCAGGCAGTAAGCAGAGGAACTATCTGCAGAGAATTTCAAAGCCATAACCACACAAAGGTTATTAAAGCCCTCTGCTTTAATTGCCACCTTGTGCCAGCAATTCTAAAGAATGTTTGTGAAAAATACTCCTCAAAACACTCATTTGGCCCTAGCAGGTTTTGCTCAGTGGTTAGAGCATCGGCCTGCAGACTGAAGGGTGCCGGGTTCAGTTCCAGCAAAGGGCATGTACCCTGGTTGCAGGCTCGATCCCCGGTCCTGGTCGGTGCTCCAGCGGGAGGCAACCAATTGATATGTGCCTCTCTCTCCCCTCCTCCACTCTCTCTGAAAAGCAATGGGAAAAAAACAACAAAAAACGACACTCGTTTGTTGGTCTAAGTTATAAATGGTTACTACAATTACTGTTGAGGCTTTTAACCATAATTTTTGTATTTAAAAAAATCACAAAGTTGGAGGTGTGGTACAAGAACATTATTGTACAAATGACTTTTCCCGTTTGAACAATTTGAGAATGAGATGCTGACCTGCTGTCCCATCAACCCCAAACTCCTTAGTATTTATTCCCTACCCACAAGGACCTTCTTCTACATAATCGCAATTCAGTCATCAAAGTCAGGGAGTCAGCATCAATCCAACAGCGCCACCTGATGCTCAGACCCATTTAAGTCTCACCAATTGTCCCAATAATGTCCTTTCCAGAAAAAAGACCCAGTTCTGAATCACGAGTGGTCCTGTCTCCTTACTCTTCTTTTATCTAGGACAGTCCTCTGCCTTTCCTTGACTTTTAGGTCCAAGACACTTTTAAAGATGACAGGCCAGCTGTTTCACAGAATGTCTCTCATTTGGTGTATCTGACGTTCCCTCATTATTATTAGATCCAGGTCCTGTATGTTTGGCAGAAATGTCACAGAAGTGAAGCTGTGTTGTACTTTTCTCATTTGAAAGTTAATAAATTTTAATAATCTTTAAAATGGAAATTTCTTCTTTTTAATTGTTTATGAGGTGAGTCAGGAAAACCATGCTTAGTATAATCATCATTATTGCAAGATTATATTGGAAATGATTTTGTGATATAGAGGAGGGAGTGTTACAAATGGTCCGCCTGGGTATCAAATAGGTTAGATATACCTATGAATATAAATATTATTGTCACATCTCTTAGGTGAGGGGCAGATGCTGGGAGTGCACTAAGCTTCCCACCATAGGCAGTTTAACAACACTTTGCTGGCTTACTAATAAATATGAAGGTGCCTAGCAGAGTCAGGCTGAGGCTTTCTGATACCTGGCAGCGAGGTCATGGTGGGGGAGGTCAGCATTCTCCTCTTCCTCTGACCACTGGAGGCTACATCCCTACAACAAGAACCCACAGTAATCAATGGCCAGAGTGGCTCAGGCCTGGTGGCAGGGGTGTGGAACGCCTGTTCCCAGAAGTTCTGACCCACGGGCTTTAAGGAGTTCCAGCTTTTCCTAAAGACCTAGGGAAAGTCTAGGGAAAGTCACCAGAGATTTCACCAGCGATTTTCGCTAGGGAATAATGTTACCAGGATTTGTAAACTAGTTAGGTATACACATGTACAGGCTTTTCCTGGGATGACTGGATTTTAATAGAACAAAGGCCATGAAATATCCATTAAAAAATTAGTGACAGAGACAAAGTCAAATTGAGGCAAATAGAGGAGTAATAATTTCACCTAAGTGGGGGAAGGCAGAGAGTCATCCTATAGACAACACCAGGGAATGACTGGGGAACCCCTGGTAATGAGCCCGAGTGGGTTTCTGGGTTTCCAAGGCCTCTTCGGACGGCACTTTTGTTTCTATAATTCAGGTTAACTGACTTCATAGTGATCTTTGCCTTGTGTATCATGCCCTGGTCGATGGAATCAAAATAAAGCAATGACAAGAATATGTCTGCTTGTGTTTAAAATAGTTCTGCAACATGGTCATGCTTTAGGTACACTAATATTTTACTTACTTGTAGGTCAAACTTTGGAAACAGAGCCCAAACTGGATGACTATGTCTAAGAGGCCTCAAGGCCCCAAATACATGTCAACATGTGGCACTGAAGGCCCAACCCTGACAACTGAGCCTTTCACGTTGAGAGTGAAGTTAAATGGCTCACAGTATACTGAGTCCTGAACGTCAGTGTTTCCAGATAATGTAGATTAAAAGGGGTGAATGGGGAGGAGGAGGGAAAGCCCAGGAAGGAAGTGGTCAGGTGACACCTGGAAAGGAGGGGAGACAAAGACAGAACCAGGAAGGCCAAGGGGGCAGCTGCAGCAGGGCCACCAGGCCTGGCCTCTGTTCCAGGCTCGTCGGCTCTGTGGGCATTCTTTTACCTGTGAAGAGAGGAGGTTGGGCACTGCCATGGGCCGAACTGTGTCCCCCTAAATTCACATGTTGCATCCCTAGTCCCCAACACTTAGAATGTAACCATATTTTGAGATGAGGTCTTTGAAGAGGTGATTAGGTTAAAATGAGGCCTTTAAGGCGGGACTCTAATCCAGTCTGACTGTGTCCTTATATAAGACAAAGAAAAGACAGCAGGGATGTGTGTGCTCAGAGGCCCTGTGAGGACACAGGGAGAATACGGGTGTCCACAGGCTCGGAGAGAGGCCTCAGCAGAAACTGGCCTGAGGCAGCCTGACCTGACTTCCATCTGCAGGACTGCAAGGACAAGTTTCTTTTCGTTAAGCTCCAGACCGTGGTGCATGTCTCAGCAGCCCTCACAGACTGATGCAGGCACCTGACTGCAGGCCGCCTCTCTGTTCTACGTTCTAGGATTCTATGGACATTGAAACAGCGACTCAGGTCATCAAGAAGAATGTCTATTACATCCACAGTCTTCTCTTAAAGAAGACAGGCATCCCGCTTTTTATTGATTTCTTTCTAAAGCGGACCCCTAAAGAGATAAGCTTCACCTACAGAGAAAATGTGCTTTTAGTAAAAGCACTCATCCCCCAGTGATGCTAGACATGAGTAGTGACTGTGCTTGACATGTGTATGTGTTTAGTTTAGAATGTTCTTCAACACACAATATACCCTGTTTAATCTCCCCAAGAAAAGATGGGTAAAGCAGGCATCTTTGTTTTGATTTTATAGAATAGGCAACAGAGGCTCAGAGGGGTTAGTCACTTGTCCAAGGTGACACAGCTGGAAAGGGAGAGCCAGGACTCCACTCCGGTGTTCTGAAACTCGGCAGAGCCCCTTTGAATAATAGGACTCTAATCTGCCTCATGTTTTGGAAGAAGCAAAACAAAAAAAAATGAGGAAAAACAGATACAAAAATCCCAATTAGTTTAAGGTTCCATTTTTATAATAAATACTTTGTGCCATTTCTACATATTCTTTAAGACAAAGGATGAGCATTTCAACAAATGGTTAATGACTGACCCCACGTGCGAATGCAACTGTAATGCTTCTGAGTAAGCCCCTTCTTGGTCTGGGAGGAGAAAAATACATGGATAATTTATGGGGACAAAGGAGGAAAGAGGAAATGGATTTAAGAGGGTGGTTATTAATGATAAGTTTTGAAAAGAATAGAAAATGCTGTCTACATGAGAAGTAATAACTACTGCCCATAAATAGGAAATGGCTTTATGGGGAAATGGCTTTGGATGAGCGTGTTTCTTCCTTTCCTCCACATTAATTTGGGCTTGC